GGGAAACAGTCAACAAAAGTAAAATTATCTCAAAGGTACGGCGCGCTCTCTTCATTTTATCAAATGATCATAATCACATCTATTCATTTTACAATCCTGCTAGCATTTTATTCAGACTAAATCCCCTTTAATTCGGGTGAGAAAGCATTTTTTTTTTGAGTGGCTTTTGCACATCCTGTCATGCCGGTGACTGAGTGCTGCTGCAATAGATGCATTTTGCTGCATTAAAGTTAACGATTAATCGATTAATTGATCGTTAATTTAAACGACGATCGATCATGGAAATGATCGAAAATTGGCATCCCTAGTAGGACAGTCACATGTCATATCCAGATGATAATAATAAAGCAATAGGCCCCAAGAAGCCGTGGTTTACAGTGAATGTATTACAGCTAAGGGGCGTTGTTAGGCATGACACGGAGTTAGCTATTCTAAATTCACTATAAACCATGGCTTCATGGGGCTTATTGCTTTTATAAAACGGTTGTTCCATATACATTTTCACAGAATAAAAAAAGCTAATAAAATGTAATGATATTAATAAAAACATTCTTCCGCCAAACAATGTAGTTCCTCAGAAATAGTTGTGGTTGCAACAAAGTGGTTGTCAAGCAACAAAGAGTTGTATGTTTGTAGTGTAATTTACAACAGCTTCGAACATGGCTCAACCAATCAGAATCAAGGACTGGAACTATCCGGTTTATAAATTGCCTTTTCCCCTTTTATAACTTATAGATCTGTGCTCTTAACAGCACTTCCCACAGCTCCATAGTTTGCTTGCATATTACTACTGTTGTGCTTCCTTTTTTAGCTATACTGCTTTTTTCTGATATTTATCTACTAATAGCCACACTAACCCTTGACCTCTGACCTTTGACCTTTACCTAATAGAGGATGACATCTCGTCTGCCTCAAATCGTAGTGCCTTTGCAGGTAACGCATCTAGTACAGTTATTTCTAATGTCCAATTAAAGCCTCTAACAATCAATCTCTGTTTTTAATTCTTACTCTAGCATTCTGAGAATAATTGTATAAGTTAACATGGTTGATTAGTATATTGTTCTCTTGCAGGTCGACCCGACCCCCCTCAGGATCTTGAGCTCTCGGACCCTTCAGCACGTAGTGTTAGACTCACCTGGGTGCCTGGGAATGAAAACAACAGTCCTGTTACACGTAAGTTTAGAGTATAGAGTCTTATGTCTTTAAAGGCCATAGTTCAGTGAATGAACTTTGTCTTCACTACTTTGTCGATGCTCTTGTGTGTCTTTATGTTTTAAAGACACAGGTCACATTGATCAGACAAGTAAATATGACCTATAAAAAAAACATCCAGTTGTCACATCTGACATCAACTGGTGTAATAATGTTATCCTTAAAATAAATGTCAGTACAGTAAGTCTTTTTGGTGAATAGAATCAAATGAATTGAGAAATTTAATTCTTTTTGAGATTGACACCCAGCCATTTTACCTGAAGATCATTTTATCTTCAATATCATGCACCTTTGAGTTTCCTTCTCTGTGCAGGTTTATTGACCAACAGCAGGAATAAAAGCTTTTAAACTCTTTATTTTAAAGGGGTCATATGATGCGATTTAATTTTTTCCTTTCTCTTTGGAGTGTTACAAGCTCTTGGTTGTAATTTTCCCATTGTGTCTTCTTGCATTACTACAGATTTCCTTGTCCAGTTTGAAGAGGACAGGTGGGAGCCTGGGAAGTGGCAAAACCTGTCTATATTTGATGGCAACCTAAACTCAGTTAACCTGCAACTGTCACCCTTTGTCAACTACCAGTTCAGAGTGATTGCAATCAATGCTGTGGGCCAGAGTCAACCCAGCCTTCCCTCTGCCCGCTATCAGACCAGCGGAGCCTGTAAGAGATTAGCAATATCCATAAGCCCTGACAGAAATGTGTTTGAGAGTGTGCTTAAACAGTCATTTAGTAACATATAATGATTTGTTTCAGCTCCTGATGTTGTGCCGAGTGGTCTTAAAGGCTGGGGAAGCAAGAAGAACAACATGGAGATCACATGGCAGGTAAAATGAACCAGGTTTATTGAAGTACCTCAAAAAAAAAA